GGGGAAAATGGAGTTTGAGTCACAGCACCCACGGGGTGACCCAGGGCCGCATCTGCTTCGAGGCCAAGGTGAGGCCAAGGTGGGGGAAAATGGGAAAAATGGGAAAAAATAGAAAAAAAATGGGAATCGGGAAAAAAAATGGGAAAAAAATGGGGGGAAAATGGGGATTTTGGGGGAAAAAATGGGGATTTTATGGTAAAAAATCATGTATCCCACGGGGTGACCCAGGGCCACGTCTGCTTCGAGGCCAAGGTGGGAAAAAATGGGAAAAATGGGAAAAAATGGTAAAAAAATGGGATTTGGGGGAAAAAAACGGGGATTTTGGGAAAAAAAATGGGATTTTTAGGGGGAAAAGGGGTGAAAAAATGGGATTTTGGGTCACAGCACCCACGGGGCGACCCAGGGCCGCGTCTGCTTTGAGGCCAAGGTGGGCAAAAATGAGAATTTGGGGAAAAAAATGGGGATTTTGGGAAAAAATCAGGGAAAAATGGGGAAAAAATGGGGATTTTGGGGGAAAAAATGGGGAATTTATGGTAAAAAATCATTGATCCCACGGGGTGACCCAGGGCCGCGTCTGCTTCGAGGCCAAGGTGGGGAAAAACGGGAAAAAATGGGAATTTTGGGAAAATAACGGGGAAAATTGGGGAAAAAACGGGGATTTTGGGGGAAAAAATGGGGAATTTATGGTAAAAAAATCATTGATCCCACGGGGTGACCCAGGGCCGCGTCTGCTTCGAGGCCAAGGTGGGAAAAAATGAGAATTTGGGGGAAAAAATGGGGATTTTGGAAAAAAACGGGGATTTTGGGGAAAAAAAACGGGATTTTTAGGGGGAAAAGGGGTGAAAAAATGGGATTTTGGGTCACAGCACCCACGGGGTGACCCAGGGCCGCGTCTGCTTCGAGGCCAAGGTGGGAAAAAATGGGAAAAATGGAAAAAAATTGCGAATTTTGGGTGAAAAAACGGGGATTTTGGGGAAAAATGGAAAAAAAATGGAAAAAAAATGGGGGAAAAATGGAAATAATATGGGGAAAATGGAGTTTGAGTCACAGCACCCACAGGGTGACCCAGGGCCGCGTCTGCTTCGAGGCCAAGGTGGGAAAAAAATGGGAAAAAAATGGAAAAAAATGGGGATTTTGGGAAAAAAACGGGAAAAAAATGGGGATTTGGGGGAAAAAAAGGGGAAAGAAAAGGGGATTTTATGGTAAAAATGGGGAGTTTGGGTCACAGCACCCACGGGGTGACTCAGGGCCGCGTCTGCTTCGAGGCCAAGGTGGGAAAAAATGGAAAAATGGAAAAAAAATGGGAATTCTGGGAAAAAAAAAAGGGGAAAAAATGGAAAAAATATGGGAAAAATGGAGTTTGGGTCACAGCACCCACGGGGTGACCCAGGGCCGCGTCTGCTTTGAGGCCAAGGTGGGCAAAATGGGGAAAAAATGGGGATTTTGAGAAAAAAACCAGGAATTTTGGGGGAAAATGGGGAAAAAATGGGGATTTGGAGGAAAAAAAACGGGGATTTTGGGCAAAAATGGGTGAAAAAAAATGGGAATTTTTGGGAAAAAAGGGAAGTTTTTTTTCCGTCCCAAATCCCGAATTTTTCGTCCCAAATCCCGAATTTTCCGTCCCAAATCCCGAATTTTCCACCCCGAATCCTGAATTTTGGCCCCAAATCCCGAATTTTGGCCCCAATTCCCGAATTTTGCTCTGCAGGTGTCGCAGAATCTCCCGGTGAAGGAGGGGAGCTCCGAGGTGCCGCTGCTCCGGGTGGGCTGGAGCGTGGATTTCTCCCATTCCCAGCTGGGTAAGAGCCCAAAAACCCCCAAATCCATCCCAAAATCCATTCTGAAAATAAAAAAA